ACACTGAATAATTTCTTACTTTATCGACAATTATATTTCTTAGCGCTAGATTCCTTTGGATTCCTTGTGAGGTGAAAGCGCATTCTGTACCACTATTGTATTTTTTCCTATGAAATCAATTTTCGTTGTGTTATCAGAAAAGTTCGTTTGAACTTTAAGTTCTTATTTTCAGCAAACTTTATTATTCTATTCATTACGGCTGATTTGGCACAGAAGTTCATTTGAGAGAAATTTAAGTATTTGGGAATGATTTAGCTTAATTTTAATATCAGCTTTCTCGAAGTCATTAGATTTAGTGCACAAAATTTTGTAGTTAAAAAGAATTTTATGAAAGGAATAAACCACCTGTCGTTATCATTTCGACAGATTGATTTGGATAACCTTGCTGATAAAACTGTTGTCGAAGATGATGAAATTGCGATGGAGCTCTTAAGTTTGAGGACGAAAGTCGTTTGATGTCAAAGTTGAAAGTGCAAGTAGGTGTAGTTACAACTAGTTGTGCTTCTCCCTTTTTCTTCACACTTTTGTTTATTTATTTATGTTTCTTTGTAAATGTTACTTGCATCAATCATTCTGACTCAGAGCAGGTTCGTCACTGTGATTAATTTATTTCATCCTTACTCATGACTTTACCTTCCCTTCCTTTACTTCAGTAAATCCGCTCCACAGTAATTAATGCAGTCCAATTCCATATCACATCGATCTTGAACTTTCCTCATTTTCCGTAATGGTATCTTTGATAATAAAATTGCTGTTTTTTTTAAAATTAACTCAACTGTTACTGAACAGTTATTCGTGTCGTGAAACAGTGCTAAGTTTGCAAATATTATAAAATATGCGACATGCCAATTTAATAATTGAATTATTATGTATTGCATAGCTTGTTTATGGTAATTGAGGTAGAAAAATGGGCAACTGATGTGTCACTCGCACATTGGTATAAATGTGTTGCTCAATAGCGTTGCAGTGGCAAGTGCTACTTGGTGTTTGCAGTCAATGTTTCCTCATATTATTCATTTCTAACTCAGTTCTAGTTCTCGGTTTTACCATTTTAGTAACTCATCTCCAGTCAAATCTCAGCTTGTTGCTCATGTTTACACCTGTCAAATTCTGACCTGTGTTTTTCATAAGTAATTGACTTTGCTAATAACATCATAATGTTACCGGGACTGTTAGCAAATTGTTCTACTTTTGTCGCACAAATTTACTCCAATTGCCATTGATGTGATCTGAAATAGTTGTGAGTGCATTGAAAATTTACTCTGATAATTTCACCTTTTGTTAGCAATTGACAAAAAGCAACAAATAAAGAAAGAAAGTGAAAGGGTTAGAATTCGTTGTCATTTCCCACGATCAGGCAGTCCTTTGTCTTGTTTTTCATTCATTTGCTGAACGCTTCCTCGTTGTCTGCTCCCTTTGTTGCTTCTCTTTGTATCAGTCACAGCGCAAAGAAATGCAATTTTTTTAGTTGCATAAAGCGGTTATGCGTACAATTAGACTGTTAATGCAAAGAAAGGCTGGACAAAAGTATTATTTTTGAGCTAAGGAAAGAAAGTGTAAAAAATGACATGACAAGCTGTTAGATTAGTGAAGAAATTTGTGGGATTTATTTTAAAGATTAGAGTAAAAAAAGCGTACAATCGGGTTTATTTCAGTGCAATTGTGAAGGGTTTTGAATTAGAAAAGTCGCGGGGTTCATTTCAGGGCAAAAAAATACATCGCGGGGTTTATTTCAGGGAAGAGTAAAGATACGGCGGGCATAAATGATAAATTGTAGAAGAAGGGCATGAAAGAAAAATTGTCATCTTAACAATTCAAAAACTTTTTAATGCTTTGTTCCTTGCTGCTCGCCTAAGAATCGTCGTTTCAAGCAGCGGAAAAAAATTCACTCTTTCCTCTCTCTTCCCTTCACTACTTCTCTCTGCATTGTTACTTCTTTTGTTATTCTCTCGTGTTGCACCTATTGAAATGTAAATTAACAAAATATTATGGTCCATTTGTCAACAAATAATACACATTTCTGTATGTACACACATACACACATATATATACACACTCACGTAACCATTTATCTTTAATATTTCAGTTCTATTCTCTTTTTTTAAACAGAAATTTGACGAGATGATTTATTTTGTTGTTGTTGTTGTTATTAGCAATGTTATAAAATGGTGATAACGATGACTGCATCAGTGGAAGGATGTTTGTAAAGGTGATAGAGACTGTTATAATACAGAGGTAGATGATGAAAGTTATAAATGCTATTGTCATAGAATTTACGTAAGTAAGCATTTAAATAATATGGAAGGTAATGCTTGTAGTTTGAGATTAGTACAATAAAGCGTATTTTTAGTAACTGCTGTTGTATTCACATTATCTCTTTGGCAATATCTCAGTTTTATGAAGAGGGAGTATTAGTTTGTTCAAGCTTACACTAGTTAACTTGTCACTAATTTGCAAGTTATATATTATTTAAAGCAACTTTCTCCTGCAATAACATTTTCTCATATATTATTGCACAAAAATAACTGTGTCAGTTGGCAAATTAAATTAAATTCTGCTTTGGTAACATATTAAGCGTCTTCAGCAGTATCAGTCCATCATTTTGCGACACAAATTGTTTCGATATTGTTTACTCACTTTCATTCATTTTGCCTACTATATTATATTTTGTTTCTAACTACGATTATTAGTGTTATCATTACATTTACTTGTTTTTGCACTGAATATGATGGGAAACAAGGCACAGTGTCTTCGCAAATTAATGTATTTACTGATGTCATTTCGTAAATAATATGAAAGCGATATAATGAGCGTTAATGTTTTTTGTTTTCTAAAATGTCGAAAAACAGGTGTGTTACTGTTGAAAGGATTGCGTTTCGGATTAGGTAAAAAATGACTAAAACCATCAAATTTAAGAAGTACACTTCTTTTCCACTTTTCAAAATATAAGGGAATTGGTCATAGTGGTGATATTAGTAGTGACAATGATAATAATTATGATGACAGTGGCATTGCAATAATAGATAGTAGCGGTTATGGTAATAAGAATACTGATAATGAATAGTCATGATTACAGTGGAACGGCAGTAATTGTGTAAAGTTTGTACAAGACTGATTTTGTAGAAAATTATTAAATTTCGATTTAGTTAAGTTTCCTTTCGCAAATTTTTTTGCTCTTCTTGCTTTTTGTCAGAAAGGAAAGATATTCTATTGTAACAGTCCCCTTCACGCATCCATTAATTCATACCTCGGTACTTGCTTTCCATGCAACAGTTGTTAAATTTATCACTCAGAGGCAGCCATTCGTATTATTCAAATTATTCATTTGCTTTTCCATTTATTCTTCGCTAATGTTAAACTAATTTTATCTTTTCGTTTTTTTTATTACCTTTTTTTGTTTTTTGTTTCACTTTGTGAAGGTAATTATTTCTCGTACTGTTTTCATAAGAGATTAAAACAATGCTTCTTCGTGCTTTTCCGGATGAAAGGAATATGTAGAAAAAAGAATTTTTTAGTTGCAGTCTTTTTTCCGACTCTAAATTATATTAAAAATGGCCACTTAATTTTTTTGTTATTATTTTATTGGTAATAATTATTAATATAATTACCATTTATTATTATAGTGAAGTGAAATAGGGCAATACAGGGTAAGGGTAGCATACATGAGGAGGTTTTCCAGGTGAGAGGACAGGTAACTCTCCTTCGCTCCACTGCTCATTGCCAATTTCAGAATTCATTGAAAGCCAGCACTGAACAGACATTGAATGCGTTTCCTTCATTCAAATAATCAAAACTGTCATCATTTTTTATGCCATTTTCAATTCCCAAAATTTCATTATGAATAAAACAGAATCACTTTCGTCACCATCATTACCAGTCCACCGCAAGAGAATGCTCAAAATTAGCGATTGTGTGAACTTATCCTTTTCTTAAAGACGCTTGAGTTACCACTCTGTCAAGTTATATGCGTACATTTATAATTCGTTAATTTTTCTTTGTCCTCATTTTGTTTCTCTTGAATATTGTCATTGACTATTGATAATAAAGACCATTCTGTTTTTTTTCTGACTTAATTTGTTCAATCCAAATGCTCGTTACTTGTTGCCAACATCAAATTAGCTCAATAAATAATCAAATAAATTATTGAAAGACCAATTCGAAGTAAATTTATTAGGCATATGAAAATGTAAATAGTAATTATTCTGATGTGGATGGCTTCATGAATTAGCATCTTCTTTAGTAAGCATGATTATCTCTACAATACGATAGTAGTCACTTTGATAACAGTTTGCTCAAAGAAATTCCTGACTGATAGGTGATTATAAAATGAAATTTGCCTCATTTGCATTCCTTTTTCTGTCATTACCATTATTTAATAGTTACAAATTTTGTTAATCAAAGTCGCTGTTAATGTCACTTATATTATCGTCATTACAATGGTATGATCAGAAAAGTGAAGTAACGCAATGATTGCTTGTTTGTTAGGTGCGTTTTTGCTTGGTCAGGAATGCTAACAGCAGTAGATCAAGTTCGTAAACAAACCTCCTCCTGCCATATAAGGAGAGAATGCCAGCAAAAAATAAGCTTATGCTAGTTATTATTCATTGTTGTCATTGGATGATTTTAAAACATGCTTTCAAACATGAAAAACCATTACAGTTGTTATGTTCATTTTTTAGGAAAGCAATAACGTAAGATATAAAAGTGACATAAGATTGAGCAAATAATGTATTGTTTTTCAGATCTTCTGACTGCTGATTACAAAGGCAAGACGTTGGTATTGACGAAAATAACTTATTCTTGTCAAAAATATAACTTTACATGGCAGAATTGAGAATGCTTTATCCAACAGTTGTCACTGCACCTTCAGCATCTTCAGCATCACTTAGTGCACCAGTCGCTAGTAGCCATCAATTACTGGCGGATAGTAACCAACGCCATCAGCCACAGCAACAGCAGCTTCACGTAATGGATGAAGAGGAAGATCTTGGCTCTGTCTCTTCTGATGGTGGTCGTTCCTCAGCTGCCAGTGAGATCTAACAATCTCTGTTTTATTTTTATTCAATATAGCAACACTTTCTATTATTCAAAGAAAAGAACTGATATGTATGATGAATGGATGAGGGGTAGAACGGGGGAGTGAGTAAGTGATTATGTTTTGGAAGTTAATAGTACTTTATGTTAGGATAGTTTTACAATACTGCTGTGCTCTTTGTGTTTTCTATTTTATTATGGTTATATCTACACTACCAATAAATCTTTCTTTCATGTTCATTAAAGGGAGCAGACTGTTTTTATAACGAAAGTAATAAGTAAAACATTATCACTTTAGGTCATGCTGTTGGCTTAACCACAAATAAATTAGCAATGGAATCTCACGTGAAACGGCCAATGAATGCTTTCATGGTTTGGTCGAGAGGTCAACGACGAAAAATGGCTCAGGATAATCCTAAAATGCACAATAGTGAAATCAGTAAACGTTTAGGTTAAGCGATTTCTTCCCCTCCTGTGTGCATACAAAATTTGCATATTTCATTGCATCCGATTACTTTATTATAGCTGATCACGTATACCAAACTTGAATAATATTAACTTTAAACCATTTAAAAAATGGTTTAAGGTTAATACCATTCGAACAGTATGCACTGTCTGAGACAAAAAATTACTCGGTTTATTTACAAAAGGCATGTTTTTCAGATATCTTTGTGGCTATTAAATTTCATATTCTGGGATTTTAGGTGCTGAATGGAAGCAGTTATGTGATGCAGAGAAAAGGCCTTTCATTGATGAAGCAAAACGTCTACGGGCATTGCACATGAAGGAACATCCAGATTACAAGTATCGACCACGTCGGAAACCAAAAACTTTACCGAAGATGAAGGAAAAATATCGCTTTGCCTTGCCTTTCACCTCATTCCCTTCATCTAATTTGCTAGGTTCGGTTGTTATTGCTGTTTTACGAATATTGTTTATGTTAGGTTAATGCAGGATTAGTTGATTTGGCATATTCTATTTGCGTAGGATATGAGTAAATAATTGCGCTTTTTCAATTACCAGCTAAGTTTTAAATGCTCAGTTTGATTACATAAGCTACTGTGATTCATTTCATTGGTTATATTTCCTGGAAAAATCACACTTTAGAATAGCAAGTGGGATTCAAGGGTAAAGTAAATTTACGTGATGGTAGGGAAGTAGTCTGTGACGAATTTCTTCTTATCCACTTCAGTTTCTTTGTCATTGTGCATAGTTTTAGTAGAAACATTTGCTATTTCTGTTATTTCATTTTTCAATTTTTAAGTGTTATTTTTTTCCTAGGACAACAAACAATAACCCCAACAACACCATTTTATCCCTCAATGCATCCTCTCGATATGGCTGCTAAAATTGCAGCTGAGAGTGCGGCACTATCGAAAGCTACCGAATTTCCTTATTATACACCATTCTTTCATCCCGCTGCTTCGGCTAATAGCACAAGGTAAATAAAAAGTGCTCTTCCTCTTCCATATTTCATTTCAAGACGTACGTGAAATGAAATTTTGCGCTGTAATCTTTTGTTTTATTATATTTACTGGTGTTTTCAATTGCATCTTGAAAAGAAGAGAAATAATTTAGTCTTCAATTATTTTATTTGTAATTACTTGATTATTATGAAGATAACATTCTAAAATATTACTAAATTTGGTGAAAGTTTATAAATACTGTCCTTTAATCATATAAGATACCATTGTAGTCAGATATGTAGTCCTTTTATATTTTTTGCAAACTCATAATCTATCATTTTCTTTTACTATTTATACCATTTCGCTGCTGTTATTGTTATTGTCGATATATAGTTGAACGATTTCTTGTCTTTTCCAATGTACAATGTTGGAAATAAATATTCATTTTTTCAGTCTAATGCCTGCTTACAATCCATATGATCTGCAACGAAATGTATTGGCTGCCTATGCGATGAAGACGAACGTTATGGCACAAGCAGCTGCTGCTGCAGCTGCAGTACAATCACCTACATCCAGTTGTAGTAACAGTATATGCTTAAGCAATAACAATAATGGTAACGAACATAGTAGAGATGGAATAACATCAGTGATATCATCATCAACTTCATCAAATTTGTGATTAATCGCTCGATGTTTTACAATTTGGTTAGTTAGTATATTATTTGGTAAGTGTGGTTGCAGTCAGTTATTCACTAAAAGAGTACTTTCATTTTTTTTCCTTCAGATTCGTTTAGTTGTAATATCATCTAGCAGTGATTTTGTGTAGAAATAAAGTCACTGTTAGATGGTGTTGCATATTATTTATTATTAAGTGATTATTTAACTAGTTGAGGACATTATTACAACAAAACGTGTTTGCTTATCTTCTTCACTGCACGCTTTTGAAGAACATTTAACTCGCAGTCCTTGTCTAACTGAAAGTTAGAACTGGAAGCTCATACCATTTTTCTCACTAATTCACTTCTTTCATATTATTGTAAGAGTGAAGTTGTTTTTGGAATTACCAAAGAGAAATATCGATGATTAAGCGGAATTCATTTCTTTTACGATTTCCATAGGTGTTTGTTGCTTAAAGGAAAGTTTGATCGCTGGGAGTGGAAAAGTTTACTTTAATGTATTATCGTTTGTTTACATATATTTCGACTGGCTGGCGTTGTAGTGTTGTCTTCAAATTTTCTGTTTTTTTCCTTTTTAAATCTTTTATGATTCATGCAATATAGCAAAATAATTTTAGTTTTTAGGTGACGAGGAAATAAACATATTTTGGAAGGAATTAATAGCAGTAGTTATTTAGTATGGTGAGATTAGTAAATTACGTAAATTTTCATTAAAATAAACAATAATGATGGGTGATACACAGACTATTGCATGTGATTAGTATTAATTGATAATGAAATATTAGATGAGTTATTGTTTTAAAAATTAAATGATAATACTTATCTCTTGGTTTAAATTTTATAAATGCTGAATTTCATCAAGCTGCTCGCTGAATGTTCCCTCTAGTCTTATAAATTATACATAAATTTGTTTTCTGTACTATTCACAGATTGAAAAAGGCGAGTGAGGGATGGTTGTATAAATGCTTTCTTTTGCATGTTGCAGAGCAAATGACATTCATTTGATTGAACATACTCTGAATCAAAAATGCAATAGACTGAAATGCAGTAGTGGGAATTGAGTATCATTTTTGATACAAGTTAAATAACATTTGGGTTTTGCAAATCGTTTGATATCACTTGAGGTTGAGTTTATTTTTGTGGAAAAAATTACACCATTGTAAATAGTACAGAAAACAGATTTATGTATATTATATGAGATTAGAGAGCACACAGCAAGCATTTGGCTATTATTACTAAGAATGCAAGTGATTAATGACTTATCTTTAATGCGCAGCAAGTTGTCTGGAATTAAAAAGTCCGTTTGCAACATATGACCACTATTACCATTTGTGACAATTGCTCAGGATTGAATAGATGGTGTTGTGAAGTTATTTTTAGAATAATGATTAGATGTTAAGGAGACCTTTGTCGAAAGATGACCTGTCTGAAGTGATTTGCTCTTTCTTGCAGATGCTAAAGCTGCACTGAGTGAGAAAATTGGATTGTCTTGGTACTTTTTTCAAAAAAGGGAGAAAAGAAGGAAGGTTGCTTTGTTAAGATTTTGTTACTTATTCTTGGTAAGTATGATAGGTTTAGCTTACGTTAGCTCACTTTTGACTATACTTCTTTTATGCTGTCGTTTGCTTTCAAATGCAGAAGTTCGACATTAGTAAAGGAAGACATTTTCACAACTTTGTAGGCTCATGCACAGAATGTGTAATGTGAAAGTAATTTATGGCATGAAATTATTGAGAATTACTTAATGCTCCAAGAGTGTTTGGACTGTAATTCTGATTTTTGTTATGCATGTCAGTGGAGGGGAATGAGTTTTGTTTCATTAAAAAGATGTAGCAAGCTAATTTATTTTGCAATTACTGTGATGCAATTAAATAACTTGAGGTTTGTGATATAGCGGTTTACTGCTTTTCACACAATGAATGAATGCTACGTAATTCATCCATTTTTTTTCATTTTTGCAGTGATTTAGGTATATTGAAGTAATCATTGACTAATGTTAAAATTGGACATAAATTAGTGGTCTTATGATGTAGAGGGAAATGAGATATGTAGCTAATTTTCAGCAAAAATCGTGAATATTCAATAGTTTAGAGGATTCAACGCTCATATTTATCAATCCTTAAATCCTGTTCATTTTATATCTTCATCAGTGTCATCGTGACAATTACAACTATTATTAGGTCTTATCAGTGTTAATACGGTTACATCTCTCCCAACAGCTTACGATTACGTAGAAGTCAAAATATGGAGATGAAATTTATGTTGAAAGAGATGAGTAGAATAAATCACAGCTTTATTATAAATTTAAGATTTTTTCTTCTATGATCATTCACATACTGCACTCATACAGTTATTAAAAAAAACTGTTATTACATATTGTATGATTTTTGTCATGCACTGTTCTTGACTGTTTCTATATAACTAGTACCTTTCAACGTCATAAGAATATTTATTTTTTGTTTCTAATGTGAATTCATTTCACTGTTATTAATTAATAACAACTGCTGATTTGTGCTCGCAACGATGTGTGATTTGTGTTGCAATGTGAAAGGCGCCATTCATCTCTGAGAAGATACTCTTCATTTGATGTATCATTTTTGCAATTATTTTCAGTGTTTGTCAAAAAAGATACATGAATTTATTTTGAATGTATCATTAAAATTATTTAAAGATTTGATTTAAGATTATTTATGACCTTTGAAGATGAAAGTTAAAAGTATCACAACAAATAGCAATTTGCCAACCAAATTATCAATGAAAAGTTATGATGCACAGGAATAACTTACCTATGTACGTGAATAGAGGCAATTTTGCTGTTAAAAACTGCATAACATGAGTGGGTATTAATGCAAAATCAAGTCAATTATTACTCACCTGCCTTGTTACTTGCAATAATTTTTTCATCCATTTCTAATTTGAAAGAGGGAAAAATTAGCAGTGAAAGATAGTAATAATAGTATTGACTAATAATAATTCTTCCACTGCGATATAAGAAATTACCGTAATTTCTTCATCATCATCAAAATTAGCGAAATGCTCTAGCCATTTTGTTTTCTTCTGCGGTTATTATCTATGGATATAGAAATTCATATGAATATAATTATTAATATTATATTTATATTCATATACAATAGCGATGATTTTTGCACTCTTTTGAAGGACACATTCAAAAGGTTTTTAGTAGTGAAATTGAGTGAAAGTGAATATGATGAAGTAATGGAATTTCATTGTGTTTGTGATTACGTTGCGTGTCTTTTCCATTTTCCTTCACTGCCTACTATTATTGTTTATGTACATTTTGAACACATTTATAGGCTTTGCCTTTTTGTTTGCTCTCTGCTAAACATTTATTATCACTTACTCTTATGCAACAAGAGAATAGATTCGATAGCCTTCTTAAATAAAAAATGTCATTTTGTTTTTGGGGAACTTGCATCATTCCAACCTGATTTTGCAATACTTACTGCTGCTTCATTTTAAGTAATTTTCTATGCCAATAAATAAATATACAAATGGATGCCTTCCTTAATTATGTGAGACACAAGTCAAATAAGTAATAAATGAATTAATTGTAAAAGTGTAGACTTTTCAAGTTGCAACTGAATTACGCATTTATTATGCAAATTTAGTTTTCTTTAGGATATTACAGAACAGTAATTAGAATACTTTTGACTATTAAAGCAAGTTTTTATTGGTAATGCCGCAATTTTTCAGATAAAATTTATGAAAATGAAAAATTATTCATTCATCATTGAGTTCTTCACGGGCCGCCTCATACGTTCTCTCACATCGATAATGCAAAGAAAAACGGAATGAAAGTAATTTTTGGAAAACAAACTTTCAGTTTTTCTTCTATTTTCGGTCAACTTTTGTACGTTTTTTTAAATGCAAATGCTGTTGTATTTTCATGTTGTGCATTTCTTCCTAATTAATACTCAATTTTATTTCAGTCATTGAAATCGTTGAGTTATGTTTATTTTCTCATTTGATATTCTTATTTTGGATTCTCGCAAGTGATGCCATTTTTACCTGAATCAGGTAATTTTGGGTGTTTGTTGCAGAAATCTATATTAATTGTACTTTTCGTAATTCGATCTCTTGAGGTTCCACTCACATTCCCAAATTTGTATTCCAAATTCGGGGCAAAATTTAGCCAAAAAAGTAATAATCGTTGTTTATTTTTCACATAATTGTTTAGGGAGAGCAAAATTTTTTTGATACATATTTAATTATGTTTAATAATTTTTCAGCATATGATGGATTTTCTGGTATAGTTTTTGAAATTTAAGCTTAAAACAGGGAATGTTGATATGCTAAAATATGACATTGTAGCCTACGTGGATCGTATATTTTCTCAAAAAGTATTTGCCAGAAGCTTATGTTGGTTTTTATGTTTAAATTTTGAATATACGACGTGAATTTGTAATACGTAAAGTTACTTTATCAACGGGTTACTTTCCACTTTACGCAATAGTTTGAGAATCAGAATGAATAGTTGAAATAATTAGGTTGTGCACGTTTTAGAGGAAAGTTTGCGAATTGATACTGTTTGGGACATCTATGTAATTTAAAAGCTGATTTCTTCATTATTTATTACTTTGAAATATCAGTTCAAAAACATATTAGAATTTTTGTATGCTTTGGTGGAAGGCTTTACCATTGGTTGACAATAAGTCAACGATTAATTCCGGTCACTGTTTTGCAAATTTTTTAAACGTTATATAAATAACATATATATATATGGATTATTTTGTCCTGAGAATGCTGACTTTGTGTAAAGTGCTGCTTTGAGATGTAATCTTAATCTTCAACTATGTTTCATTGTTTAATAAATTAATTTGACAGTTTTGCTTGTTATTAAATATTGTCATACTGATTTCTCACAGAGTTACACTTAATTTAAAAAAACAATCACTCATTGATGAGATCTACAGTAATAACTAGCCTACATGTTCAAGATTTTTTCTCGTGACAGTTTTGCATTTGATTGTGTATGATGAAC